TCCAGAGTGAGCACTGTCTAGGTTACCTCTTGTGCCCTGTCTTATGACTCTGAGGTGAATTCTGTAGGGCTGCTTAGAGCTCTGTTGTCCTATATGGTAGCTGGTAGCTACATGTTTACATTAATTAAAATTAAATGATTGAATTAAAATTCAGTTCCTCCATTATACTAACTGTATTTCATTTGCTCAATAGCCACTTATTACTAGTGGCTACTGTGTAGCCACTGAGTAGCTATAGAAGTTTCCTATCATTGCAGAAAGTTCTGTTAGACGGTGGTACCTCAAAAGGTGCTAGTAGGATCAGCCCTATTTGCTCACAGTGATACCAATGTAACCAGCTTACTAATGTGCCCTTGTACTGTTTTGCTCATTTCTTGCTTTACCCTTCCTCATCCTCACTATTTCTATGCCTATGGAATCTACCCCAAAGCAAATTACCTATATGCAAACTCTTATCTGGACTCTGCATCTTACAGGGAATCCAATTTAGACAAGCACTTCTTGTGGTTCCTTAATTTTATGGTTACCTATCGATTTGTGAAGGTTTTTTTTTTTTGTTTGTTTGTTTGTTTTTTTTTCTTTTGTCTTTTTTTGAGACAGGGTCTCGCTATGCAGTTCAGGCTGACCTTGAGCTCACTTTGTAGACCAGGCTGGCCTCGAACTCGCAACGATCCTCCTGCCTCAGCCTCCCGAGTACTGGGATTACAGGCGTGCGCCACCACGCCCGGCTGTGAAGGTTTTTCTGGAAAATAAACATTGTTACATTAGATGTATCCATCACATTGTAAGAAGCTATAGATTTCAGAAATACAGAAATCTTATTAAAGTATCCTAGCTCATGACTAGGATACTTAAATTTAAAGTTTTATTTAGTGTCATAGTCTGTAACTAAAAAAAAAAAAAACAACAAGCTGGCCATGGTGGTACATGCCCTGCAATCCAACACTTTGAGAGGCCAAGGCAGGAAGACTGAAAATTTGAGTCCAACTGCTGAGCAATTTAGCAAGACTGTCCCAAAATTTAAAAAATAAAAAAAAAAATGGGCTGGGGATGTAGCTCACTGTGAAGACTCTGAATTTAACCCCTGGTTCTGCCAAAAGGAAGAGAGACAGAAAGGTTTTTGGTGGTTATTTTGATATATTTTAATCAGTGATATCCTTGGGAATAGTCTCTTTGGGTTTTAATTAAATGATGAATACCAAGTATGAGTTCAGGGAAATAGTGAGGTTAGTTTAGATTTGGTATTCTATACTGTGACTTGTAGATTAAGTCTTACTGTTTGACTGCCCTTAATGTGGCTATTACAATCCACCCATCATATTCTTAAAGCCTGGCTTTGGGCTGGTCTTCTTGTGTTAAAATGAAGAGAGAAGAGGGGAATAATAAAACAGAAATATGCCGCTTAAATTATTTGTTAGCGGGGCTGGGGATTTAGCTCAGCGGCAGAGGGCCTGCCTGGCAAGTGCAAGGTTGTGAGTTCGATTCCCAGTACCAGGAAAAAAT